AAAAAAAAAAAAAAAAAAAAAAACAAGAATAGAATGACAAGTTTCATCTCCTCAAGGAGATCCTAACACCCGTGTGCCTTAAGACTAAAACAAACACCCAAAATCTACAGGGAGGGGATAATCTCTTCTTCCCTGAAGCCTGAATCTTCCAGGTAGAGAGGTGGTGTGTTTCAAGGAACTCCCAGAGCTCTAAGCCTCCAAAGCCACAAGGGATCAAGAAGGGATGAAGCCAGGCTTATAAGCTCTGGGCAGGACCAAGATGCAGCCGTAGCTTCAGTCCTGAGTGCCACATTTCATTTGCCTGAGCTGTGTGTCTTAACAAGTCTGAATGTGTGGCTACCCCAGGAACTGCTTTAGAGAGGAGAAACTGAAGATACAGGCTGGAGTGGAAGGGAGACCCAAAACTAAGCCACGTGGCCAGACTGAGAGGATCTTGAGTCCCTCCCTTGAGGTATATCAGGCTGGGGAGCTCCATCTGCTAAGGTTGGTATTTTTAATTGCAAATTTTACTGAGTTCAACCAGAGCTGATTCAGAAGGCTGAGGTTGCCTGTTCTCTTCCCCTTCCCTTCACCCAAAATCCACACCCACCCCATTCCTTACTCTGTCAGACTTTAAGCATTGCCTTAGATCCCGAGGTATTCAAGGGTCTTGAGCAATGTTTTCCAGCACCCCATTCATCAGGTTTGCAGAATCTAACTTGGTGGAAGTTAATGTATATCAAGTACCTACCCTGTTTCCAGAAGCGTGCGAAGTACAACATTGACAAACATTGTCTTTCAATCCTCACAGAAACTGAGGCTCAGCGAGGTTAAGTAACTCTGCCAAGTTTCCTGACCCCTCCCAGTGCACCTTTTGCCTAGGAAATGTTTACTGAGGTTAATTCCCATTTCCAGGGCATCGCACTTCCCATCTCCTCCACCTACCAACACCTGTTTCATTCCTCAAGGCTCAGCCCCGTGCCTCCTGGTCCTGAAGCCTTCCCAGACCACCCCAAGCTGCAATCACCCTTCCCTCAATGGGTTCCTGCTGCAGAGTGGGCTCCACCCAACTTCGCTCGTTTTCATGGGAACAAGTGTGTCTCTAAACAAAATTTTTAGATCTTAAATGGCCACAGCCATGTCTTATGCTGTTGTTTAATTACTTTGAACAACCAAAATTGTTTAAACACTTTTGAACAACTGGAATTGTTCAAATATTTTCAGATTATAGTAGTGGTTCAAATACTAACTGATGGCTTGTTATATAGCTTAAAACAGCCTCTGCTCTCAGAAGTTACAATGTGATAGGGAAGCAAAACACCATGCAGAAAGGAAGAAAGACTTAGGAACATCGATAGGCCCTATTACACAATTTGAAATACATCTGTGTGGGTGAAAAGCAACTGTCAGGTAACAATAACAGCACACAAAACGGGAATGCAGTGGGGAAAGGAAAGTCTGACTAGAGGGACTGAGGGATGAGCATCATAGAGGAAACCTGAAGGTACTCTGCGCTTGAGAACCTCAAGCGTACACCTGGAGAGCTGTTGCCGAGGTCACAACAATTGAGAATTATTAATAGGTGTGCCTCTGAAGGAATCAAATGGCCACCTGGGAGCTGGGATAGGAGCAGTGGAGGATTAAGAGGGAATGCAGTCCTGGGCCATGGGAAGATAGTGGAAGAGAGGGATTGGGAAGGTAAACAAGAAACATTATTTACTGGATTCCAGGAGCTCAGCCTAAAAATATGGCCGGGTGTGGTGGCTCACACCTGTAATCCCACCACTTTCGGAGGCCGGGGCGGACAGATGGATCCCCTGAGGTCAGAAGTTTGAGACTAGCCTGACCAACATGGTGAAACTTCTTCTCTACTAAAAATACAAAAATTAGCCTGGCGTGGTGGTAGGCAACTGTAGTCCCAGCTACTCAGGACGCTGAGGCAGGAGAATCTCTTGAACCCAGGAGGCAGAAGTTGCAGTGAGCCAAGATCACGCCATTGCACTCCAACCTAGGCAACCAGCGAGAGTCAGAGTGAGACTGTCTTAAAAAAAATTTTTTTTAATAATAATAATGCTGAGTATGACTTTGTGGATATGTATGCCTAAGGGCCTGAGCTGTCATCCTATCAGAGAAAAATGAAAGCAATAATATTCATTGTAGATCAGATACTCGTGGACATTTAGATTTGAACAGAAGGAAACCCCTAAGAAAGATAGAAAAGAATAAGCATCACGGATACACGGGGCATCTGGGTGGAGAAACTGGAGCACAGGCCAAGAGGCTGACTGTGCTAGGTTGAACGTCAAGGCTGAATCATGTGGTAGGATTCTGCCACACCACCAGGCCCTTGACTTTCAAGAACGCATATTCTGACCTTTCCAGTAAATAGAAAGTCATTCTGTGGAGGGCATGGAGTGTTTCTAGAATTCTCCTACAGTCAGATTATCACAAGTTGTCTCTGGAAAGGAGGGAGGAGAGGCAGCAAGGGCAGAGGCATGGTCCTGGAGGTTTCAGTAGCTGGCTAGTTCTTCTAAAGTCATAGCCTTCAAACGAGGTTGGTAGCCCTGAGGGCAAGTGAAGATTCTTCAAAGAGTTCATAGGCAAAACCATTTCAAGGGCACCAGTTTTCAGAACCTCAGCGTCCATATCTACGCTTTCCTAAAACTGATGTGCTTGAAAATGCCTCTGTGATGAGAACGCTGGACTCCTCTCTCATCTCCCTCTTCATGGTTGCCCTTCTCCCACTTTTGAAAAGAAATGAATGCTTTTTTTTTTTGCTTTTTTTTTTTTCGAGATGGAGTCTTGTTCTGTCACCCAGGCTGGAAAGCGGTGGCTTGATCTCAGCTCACTGCAACATTTACCTCCTGCGTTCAAGTGATTCTCCTGCCTCAGCCTCCTGAGTAGCTGGGATTATAAGCACGTACCACCATGCCCAGCTAATTTTTGTATTTTTAGTAGATACAGTTTTCACTATGTTGGCCAGGCTTGTCTCCAGCTCCTGACCTCAAGTCACCCATCTGCTTTGGCCTCTCAAATTGCTGGATTACAGGCATGAGCCACCACACCTGGCCGAGAAATACATGCTTCTAACCCATGCTGAATCTTTTTTTTTTTTTGAGACGAAGTCTTACTCTGTCGCCAGGCTGGAGTGCAGTGGCACAATCTCGGCTCACTCCAACCTCCAGCTCCCTGGTTCAAGCGATTCTCCTGCATCAGCCTACCGAGTAGCTGGAATTATAAGCACATGCCACCAGCCCAGCTAATTTTTGTATTTGTAGTAGAGATGGAGTTTCACCATGTTGGCCAGGATGGTCTTGATCTCCTGACCGTGTGATCGGCCCGCCTCAGCCTCCCAAAGTGTTGGGATTACAGGCATGAGATGAGCCACCGTGCCCAGCCCCCATGCTGAATCTCATGAGAAGGCATTTCACCAGCATATGCAAACTTCCAGAATACCACACCAAGATATAATTTGATAACTAAGTATTGAAAAAGTAAATAGAGATACTGCTTCGTCCAGAGCCTAGTAGCTAGGCTTGTCCTCTCCTTTCAAATCAGAGGCTTCTGCTGAAGACATGCCCCGTCAGACCCTCAGTCAAGCCAAGAAGCATCCGAGTTTGATATCCTGCTTCATATTTATTGGAGCTGGGAGTACTGGAGCAGCATGTCATGTCTTGTGTCTGGCATTTTTCAATCCAGATGTTAGCTGGGCCAGATCCAGACCCTGGAACAAACTGAGTCCCAGTGACCAATACTCAGTGAATGCGGATTACAGCAAACTGAAGAAAGAAGGCTCTAGCAGGGCAGTGCTGAGAGGAAAAATGGTTTTGGGGCCCCCACACAAAGTCCCTACCAGGGCACAGCCCAGTGGAGTTGCAGGAACAGAGCCACTGCCCTCCAGATTCCAGGATGAGCCACTAGCAGCTTGCAACCCCAGCATGAAAAAGCCACTCTAACCCATGAGAACAGCCATGTGGGCCACACCCGGCAGCTTCTAAAGGCCTTGGGAACCCACCCCTTTCACCAGTGTGTCCAGGATACAGGACAGGGAGTCAAGGATTATTGTGGGGCTTTAAGATTGTGTCTGCCTTGGAGAATTGCCTGAACCCAGGAGGCGGAGGTTGCGGTGAGCCGAGATCGCGCCATTGCACTCCAGCCTGGGTAACAAGAGCGAAACTCCGTCCCAAAAAAAAAAANAAAAAAAAAAAAAAAAAAGATTATGTCTGCCTTGCTGGGTTTTGGACTTGTGTGAGACCTGTTGCCCCTTTCTTTTGACCAATTTCTCCCTTTTGGAATGAAATGTTTACCCAGTGCCTATAGCACTAATGTATCTTCGAAGTAAGTAACTTGTTTTTTTTAATTTTACAGGCTCATAGGTGGAAGGAACTTACCTTGACTCTCAGATGAGACTTTGGACTTTGGACTTTTCAGCTAATGCAGGTATAAGTTAAGACTTTGGAAGACTATAGGGAAGGCATGATTGTGTTTTGCAATGGGAGAAAAACATGAGATTTTAGGGTCCAGGGGAAGATTGCTATAGTTTAGATGTTTGTCCCCTCCAAATCTCCCCAGTGTTGGAGGTGGGGCCTGGTGGGGTATTTGGGTCATGGGGGAAGATCCCTCGTGAATGTCTTAGTGCCCTCTCCATGGTAAGGGGTGAGTTCTTGCTCTGTTAGTTCATGCAAGAGCTGGTTGTTTAAAGGAGGCTGGCATCTCCTGCCCTCTCTTTTGCTCCCTTTCTCACCATGTGACATGGCTGCCTCCCCTTCACCTTCCACCACGAGTAAAACCCTCCAGAGTTCCTGACCAGAACAGATGCTGGTACTATGCTTGCACAACCTGCAGAATCAGGAGCTGAATAAATTTTTCTTTATAAATTACCCAGTTTCAGGTATTCCTTAATAGCAACACAAAACAGACCAAAACTGTGTTCTTTCTCATTTTACCTTGCACAGAAGTGGACATGCTCAAGTAATACTGTTTGAATGATTGTCAATTGTTACCTCTGCAGATGACACCTGGAGAACTAGCCCTTGCCAGTGGCAACCACACCCCTGTCACCAAGTTCATCTTGCAGGGATTCTCCAATTATCCAGACCTCCAGGAGCTTCTCTTCGGAGCCATCCTGCTCATCTATGCCGTAACAGTGGTGGGCAACTTGAGAATGATGGCACTCATCTTCACAGACGCCAATCTCCAAAGCCCAATGTATTTCTTCCTCAGTGTCCTCTCTTTTCTTGATATTTGTTACTCTTCCGTGGTCACACCCAAGCTCTTGGTCAACTTCCTGGTCTCTGACAAGTCCATCTCTTTTGAGGGCTGTGTGGTCCAGCTCACCTTCTTTGTAGTGCATGTGACAGCTGAGAGCTTCCTGCTGGCCTCCATGGCCTATGACCGCTTCATGGCCATCTGCCAACCCCTCCATTATGGTTCTATCATGACCAGGGGGACCTGTCTGCAGCTGGTAGCTGCTTCCTATGCATTTGGTGGAGCCAACTCTGCTATCCAGACTGGAAATGTCTTTGCTCTGCCTTTCTGTGGGCCCAACCAGCTAACACACTACTACTGTGACATACCACCCCTTCTTCACCTGGCTTGTGCCAACACAGACACAGCAAGAGTGGTCCTCTATATCTTTTCTTCTCTAGTCACCCTTCTGCCTGCTGCAGTCATTCTCACCTCCTACTGCTTGGTCTTTGTGGCCATTGGGAGGATGCATTCAGTAGCGGGAAGAGAGAAGGCCCTCTCCACTTGTGCCTCCCACTTTCTGGCCATTGCTATTTTCTACGGCACTGTGGTTTTCACCTACGTCCAGCCCCATGGATCTACCAGCAATACCAATGGCCAAGTAGTGTCTGTCTTCTACACCATCATAATTCCCATGCTCAATCCCTTCATCTATAGCCTCCGCAACAAGGAGGTAAAGGGTGCCCTGCAGAGGAAGCTGCAGGTCAACATCTTTCCTGGCTGAGCCCTGCACGGTGATTTGTTGGAATGAGACAGGTGTAGCATCTTCCAAATCACACTATGAATTAACCTAACCAAGAGCAGCCCTCCTCTTGGTTAGGTTAATTCTTTTGGGGAAGATAGAAAAAGTAAAGGAGAAACAGCAAATATGTCTTCTACAGAGTGGTTACAGTTTATAAAGCATCTTCTTACCCATTATCATATTAAATTCTTACCACCATATCGTGAGGTAGCCTTTATTACAATGATCCTATTTTACAAATGAAAGACACATGCATGGCTCAGAAAAAAATAAATGAATTACCTAAAGTCATGCCATAAGTGAGAAGGTTCAATTACACCACAGCCATAGGTTGAGTCTTTATTGGTGGCTTATTGTAACTTCCAGGAAACGTCAGACAAGGTACAACACTGTCATCTCTGTTTTGCCCCTGATTTAGTGAACTGGGAGTGAGCAACAAGTGACTTGGTTCTTTTTTCCTGTTCTAAAAAGAGAGATAAGCAGGATAGAGATGTCCTTATTTCTTATGACAACCACATTTTGCTGAACCGTTCCATTACAACCTCAGGATCCAGAGAGATCCTTCCTTGTACGTCCATATCTTAGCCAGATGTGTGTACGTGTGTCTCCTAGTTCTCAAGGGTTTGGTAGCGGGGGGACGTGTATGATGATTAGGCAGTTCCATCATTACATTAGATACCGTGCTTTGGGAAACTGATTTTTTAAATGTTTATATTTGACCTGACTATCTTTAAGTGTACATGTCATATGATGAGTATATGTGTTTTATAGAATCACACGAATGATGAAGCTGAACTTAAAGACCTAATTCGGGGTTGAGCACTGGATTAGAAAGCATACTCTTAAACCAATGCAAAGTCCTAATCTGAATGGAGTTGGTTTCAGCCTGAGATTTTTGGATTATTAAAAAGCTTTTTATTCAGATATACCTTAAGACAATTATTGTAAATACAGAAAATCTTACTGTACGAATAGGTCTATCATAGCATCATACGTGAAAACGAAAAATTGGAAACCATCTAAAAGAGAAAAAGAATTAAATAACTTATTCCCTAGATGAATTACGACACCAACCATTACAAATTATGCTTGTGAAGACTATGTAATAACAGAAAATAGGAGGCCAGAACATCTGGAGTGTAGTCACAATCATCTAACAGAAACAAGAAGCCTAAAAACGCACAAAAATGTAAATTATAGTTTTAGAGGAGGAAAAAGGTTTTACTATTTTTCTCAAAAGTTTTCCAAAACTTTCTTAATAAGCTTTTTTTTTTTTTTTTTTTTTTTTTGAGAAGCCGTGACAGTTTCACTCTTTTTGCCCAGGCTGGAATGCAAGGGTGTGATCTCAGCTTACTGCAACATTTGCCTCCTGGGTTCAAGCGATTCTCCTGCCTCAGCCTCCCTACTAGCTAGGATTACAGGTGCATGCCACCACACCTGGCTAATTTTGTATTTTTAGTAGAGACAGGATTTCACCATGTTGGCCAGGCTGGTCTTGAACTCCTCACCTCAGATGATATGCCTGCCTCAGCCTCCCAAAGTGCTGGGATTACAGGAGTGAGCCACCACACCCAACCTAATGAGCATGTTTAATTTTGATACTTTATTCTTGTTACTAGTGATGAATCCATACAGCAAATTCAATCCTTGCCTCCTTGGAGGAAAGAATTCTGCTGAGGGGCAGAAGTAGGTTTAAGGAAGAGGGAGAGACTGAGACAAGTTTTAGAGCAGGAGTGAAAGTTTATGAAAAACTTTTAGAGCAGGAATGAAAGGAAGTAAACTTCAAAGAGGGCCAAGTGAGCAACTTGACAGATCCAGGTGCCTTGATCAACTCTTGACTTGGGGTTTTATACATTGCCATGGTTCTGGGTCTTCTTTTCTCGTCCCTTGCTTCTTCCCATGGGGTGGGTTGTGCCCATGCACAACCCAGCACTTGGGAGGGGCCACATGCACAGTGTGTTTACTAAAGTCGTAGGCATGCTAACTTGAGGCATTTTTCCCTTACCCATTGAGGTTTCCTAGAAGACTATACACCAGTTAAACTTTACCATTTTGCCTTTTAGCGTGCATGCTTGAGCACACTCACCCCACTCCTGAGATCTTATTGAGAAGCCTCTGATTACCAGCTTCAGGTTATGTTTGTTTGTGTGTTTGTTTGGTTTTTGAGATGGAGTCTCACTCTGTCACCCAGGCCGGAGTGCAGCGGCATGATCTTGGCTCACTGCAACCTCCACCTCCTGGGTTCAAGCGATTCTCTTGCCTCAGCCTCCTGAGTAGCTGGGATTACAAGTGCATGCCACCACATCCAGCTAATTTTTGTATTTTTAGTAGAGTTGGTATTTCGCCATGTTGGTTGGGCTGGTCTCAGACTCCTGACCTCAAGTGATCCATCCACCTCAGCCTCCCAAAATGTTGGGACTACAGTTGTGAACCACTGCACCCGGCCCTGGTATTTTCCATCTATTGGAAGACTGTCTCTCCCTGGCACTGATTGTGACCAGTTATTACTTTAGAGAGACAGTTTAACAACCACCTGACCATCACTTGATGATTGCCTGACATTCCTGGAGGGGGGAAAACTGTTCTGCCCCGAACGTGTCTCCCTAACTACCTACTCTAACATTCTAAAAATGAACAATTTAAAAATCCTTTCCAGGAAGGGTGTGAAAATTTCTCACTTTTGTCTTCTTTCATTCAGCAAATCTTTACTAAATTCCTCCTATGCTCCACCTACTTTTAACTTATAAACTAAATGTGTAGTACATTCGGTTGAAGTCAGGACTAGAACCTTATGGTAAAGGGATTTAGTAAAAATTAATTCATTCATCTGGGAAAATATTTACATGGCAATTAGATATAACACTATGTGGTAGGCCCTAGCTGGACAGTCAGAAATCTATTAGGCAGTTTGCTTATGCCAAAGTTACAAGCAAACCCCAAATGTCAGTGACTTCATACCACACAGATTTAACCGATGCTAAATTTGAGACACATCAGGTGACTCTCGGGGAAATGTATCCATCCAGTGACTCCATATCTGAGCCCCTCTCACCTTGCAATCCTGCCATCTCACCCTTTGCCCTCCAAGATCTTAATGGTGGGGGAAATGGTCAAGGTCATACAGCATTTTTAAGGACATGGCCTGAGGTTGGCTCACATCACTTTGACTCATGCACCACTGGCCTGAAACCAGTCTTATGGCTATGATATACGGCAAAGGAGGCTGGGAAACGTAGTCCTTTTTTCACCCAGAGAGAGGAAAATGAAATGAGATTTGGTAAACAGATAGATTCGTGTGTCGCTGGCCAGCTGGACATTTGATTAGACCATCATCTGTAAGAAGTACTAAAACATCACTGGCTAAGTTTAACCCCTTACTCTATCACCCAAGAAGTGGTACACAAAAACACATACTCTCATAAAGAAAGAAGTCACTACAAAACAAAAACGCATTGGAAAACATGAAAATCATATAAAAATACAAAAGTTGAATTTGCATATTATGTGGCTCAACTCTACAATTTTAACTAAGACTATCAGTTGCTATCCACCTCAACTATATCAATATTAAATAAATACTTATAGACTTTCAATCTGAGAGTGATCAGTTATCATCCTGCCCCATCCACTGTTGTATCTTCTATGTCTAGAACAATGCCTAGCACATGGCAGGCACTCAACAAACATCTGTGCAATAAATGAGTGAATGGGTATCCACATGCTTGTTTTCCTTGGACGAGCAGCACTGTCATCACCTGGGAACTTTCAAATGTAGAATCTGGAGCCCCACTCTTGACCTGCTGAATAAAAATTTGCATTTTGGCCAGGTCCAGTGGCTCGTGCCTATTATCCCAGCACTTTGGGATGCCAAGGTGGGCAGATCATCAGAGTTCAAGAGTTCGAGACCAGCCTGTCCAACATGATGAAAGCCTGTCTCTACTAAAAATACAAAAAAAGAACAAATTATCCGGGCATGCTGGCAGGTGCCTGTAATCT